TTAACCCCCAAATTGGGGTGCTGAGTCACCACAGGGCTTCACCAAGGTTGGCCTGCACATGGCAGCCAGACAGGGGAAAGAACTCACAGGGGCTAAGCTAGGTCATGGATTTGTGCTAGCCCAGAACCCTGCAGAGCCTGTCTGCCATACTGAGAGAAAAGTGAAATAGCATTAGAGCGAGGGGCTGGTCTGCCTCCACCTACAGAGAGGGGTTGGCTCTCCTATCAGCATTGTCTTCAGCCCCCTCCAGGCCTTGCTTAAGGAGTCCTGAGGAGGGGCATGAAGGGGGGGGCAGCAGTAACTGACCTTGTTTCTGAGCGGGGGAAGGAAGTGTGTCACCACGGCGCTAATACCAATACTGTTAATACCTAGCCTAGGCCGAAGGTTGGCGTGTGTGCCAACCACTACTCTAAATACTTCACAGGATTTGTCTCATTTAATCCTCATGACAATGCCACAAGGTTAGTACTGTTATCAGCCTTTTCTAGACACACAGCTAGGAAGTGGTAAGCTGGGATTTGCACTTAGGTTGGATTTCAAGCCCATGCTTATAGTCACGACACTGTTCCCGTGGAAAATAATGGAACACAAATTTGAACCTGAGTCTGTGAAGAACTTTTAAACCTAAGGTTCGTAGATGAGGAAGTCGGGTTAATACAAGTTGTGTGCAAGAATCCATGAGCCTGTACATACAGGAGCATGGACACACACACACACACACACACACACACACACACTCACTCTGGAGAAAGCTTTGAGCCAGTCACAGGGTCCTAAAGCTGCCCATATTCTCCTTCTAGGTCAGTCAAGTAAGAGCCATAGAGGTCATCACTACTCTAATGTGGAGAGAAGTGACTGAAAGAGGATGAGAGGGGGCATCTGGGGAGCTGGTCATGTGTTTATTTTTTTAATCTGAATGTTAGGTATGTTCAGTTTGTGAAAATTCATTGAGCCATATAAACTTAAAAACTGCACTTTGCTGTATGTTTTATGTCAATAAAAAGTCTTGGTTTTATCAAAGGCATACGGACTTCTGGAAAAATGGAATAGATACACCTTTGCCTATTTCTTCTGCTAAGTACAACTGAAAACTCAGGACATTATATATCAAGCAACTGCAGAAGACTCTGAAGGGTGAAGAGAAGGTAAACAGGTTAGGAGTGTTGGACTCAAGGAACAACAGAGTGATGAGCTTCTGGGGTTTTCTTCTTGCTTTATAATCCCAGACTTGGCACTGAACAAGCTGACAACCTCCCGTTCCTCCCCCCTCTCCAGTGGTGCAGGCAAAAAAGCCCCAGCCAAATCTCTCCAGGAAAGGGGTAGCCTCGGCTGACAGAAAATTTTAGAAATTAATCTTGCTGTTATAACTAAACACCACAGGAACAACTGTGTCCTCATCTCTAGCAGCGAAGGTGGAGTCAGGAGCAAAAACTTCAATTTCAGGCTGTCACAAGGGTCCCCCTGCACCCCCCTCCCATGTCTCCTGCCAGAGGATGTCGGAAAGACAAGCAGGGAGCTTGCACTTCTGTATTATTGAGTGGTAATGGGGTTTTCCCTCATCCTCTGTTAGTGGAGACCCTGTAGGGAGCCCCACCGGTCTTAATGAGACCACATTCCCTTTCCTTGCTGGATGTGTCAAGATCTAGTGGAGAGCTAAGATTTTTACTATCACCCAGTAGCAGCAGGGCCACACCCTTCCACCCTGAGGTGTCAGCGGGAGCCATGTGGGGAGTAGTAATGAGGAACTCCTACTTCTCCCAGCCAAGTGTGTATCTGCAGAGGCCTAGTGGAGAGCCCAACTCCCATTTCCACCCAGCAGTAATGCGGAGGCTCCTTACTTGTTTGTCAACAGAGACTGAGTAGGAAGCTGCCCTTTGACCCCTCCAGCTGGCAGTCATGCCCCATATCTCCCTTCCCACTCTAGAGGGAGGCCAGAGGGAGCCAGATAAAATAGAAGACTTAACTAAAATTCAAAAAGATTTGACCAGATACTACAGCAAGAGGATATAAGGATGGCTCATGAGCATATGAAAAGATGCTCATCATTAGCCATCAGGGAGATGCAAATGAAAACCATAGATACATCACTATATAATTATCAGAATGGCTAAAATTTAAAAAAAAAAAAAAGAGTAACAACACCAAATGCTGATGAGGATGCAGAGAAACTGGACCATTCACCCATTGGTGATCAGAATGCAAATGCCTGTTTTTCACAACAGCCACTCTGGAAGCCAGTTTGGCAGTGTATTAAAAAGTGAAAAGGTGATGCATGGGGTTGAGTCTAAGCACTATGAAGCTATCCACAGCCACTGTGGCATGAGTTCAATCCCTGGCCAGGGAGGTGACCCACATGGCACAGCAGACCTCTCCTGTCTCGCCTGCTGCTCCCCTCAGCAGTGTATTTCAGTCAGTCCACCTGTTCTGCTCCCCACTGTCTCTGATGAATCCTCTCACATCCCGTACCTCTGGCCTGTACCCCCACCTCCTGTATGCATAAATAAATCTTTTTTAAAAAAGTAAAAACAATGTATAAACAAAAAAAAAAAAAACCACACACTTGTAAAAAACAAAAAAATGCATTGGCATTTCTGGGCATTTATCCCAGAGAAATAAAAGCTGATGTTCACAACAAAAACAAAACCAAACCAAACCAAAAAAATGCTTACACATAAATGCCCATAGCTGTTTTATTCTTAATAGGGATAAATGGAAAGCACAGGTGTCCTTCAGTACATGAATGGTTAAAAAAAAAAACTGTGGTCCTATATCATGGAATTCTACTTGGCACTAAAAAGGAACAAGCTATTGATACACAACTTGGATGAAATGCCAGAGAATTAGGCTGCCTTAAATAAAAGCCAACCGCAAAAGTTTATATACTATAAGATTCTATTTATATAAAATTACTGGAATGAAAAAATTACAGTAATACAGAACAAATTAGTAGTTGTCAGGGGTTAAAGAGGAGGCTGGGGGAGTGGGTGTGGCTATACCAGGGCACCAGGAGGATGGCACTGTTTGTATCTTGCCTATGCCAACATAAGGATTCGGTTGTACATTACATGCTGGTTCTGCAAGATGTTACCTTTGGGAGGAATTGGGTAAAGGACATATGAGACCTCTCTGAATTGTTTTTCACAACTGCCTGTGAAACTTATTTCAAAATAAAATAAACATTTTAATTAAAAAGTAAGGCAGAGGGACTCTCTGTGCAGCTCCACACAAGGCTCTGAAGATCCATTTTCAATGACTCCTAATGGTCACTCTCACATACTACTCAAATCCACCAAAATAGTGACTGTGCTGGGGTAGCGGGTTATGAGTAAGGCTTCCCTCCCATGTTTCCCATAATCTGTAACGTAAACCATGTCTAATTTTTAAAAGACTCCTATCTCTCTCTTTGTGAGTCTTTTTCATTGGCTTCCATTTATCTTTCCTTTTTAGATAACCTAAAACCCAGATTTTTATCTTAGGTTTTTAAAACCTTTCTTTAAACTCTTCTTCATTGTTCTCTAGATTTCTACTTATTCCATAACCTCCCCCACTTTTCCTTGCCCTTTGGAATCAAACACCAGGGATACTCAAGGCTGGCTTAATTTACAGCCCCACCTCCTCATTGCATCTGGAGAGGGCATCTGAGCAAAAATGTATTGATGACCCCAATTGGCTGCAATGGCTGCCCATTGACTCCTCCTGGGAAGGTGCCCTTGGCACCTTAAAACTTAGCAGTTCCTGCACTGTATTTCAGTATGGCTCCCAATACTCCACAGTGCGAGTGTCCAATGGGCATTCAAGCCAGAAAAATGGAAATTGTCCTGGACATCCGCTCCTCCCTCAACTGCTACATTAAAACATCACCAAGTTCTGTTACCTTGTCCTCCAAAATGCATTACAGATTTGTCTTCTGTGCCTGTGGACAACAGCAGTTTCCTAAGTGATCTGCCTGTCTTAACACGTGCCCTCCACCAATTCGTTTTTCACATTACTGTCATCTGTTTTAATAATGGGAATCTACCTCTCTCAGTACCCTACTTATTATCTGCAGTGGCTCCTCTTTGCTCCCAGGATAAAGGTCTAAGTCCTTAGCATGTCTTACAAGTAGGCTCTGCACACAATAGGGTTACAATATCATCCAAACCAGGATACTTTTAGAGCAAAATGGATAGTATTTACAAGGTTGCTGGGACAATAATAGGTTTATGTCCAGCTCCATCCTTCACAGCTCCCAATCCTACCCCAAAGCCCCCCCCACACACACACCCTACACACACACACACACACACACACACACACCCTCCAGCAGCATTCCTTTGGATAGCCAGGAATGCGCGTGCTCTTCTCTGCCTGAAAAACCCTTCTCCTAAAACACACTTCTCTTCTCTTTGTCCAACTTTTAATCAATTTCTTTAAGAGTCAAAATCATTTTCTCCAGGAAGACTTCCCAGCCTCCCAACACTGGCTTAGGTGTCCCCTTGTGCTCCTATGGCAACTGTTTCTTCCAGAATCTCAGACCTTATCACATCAGGTTGTGGTGTCTTGTTTCCCTTCGAGAGGAGAGCGCCCCCTTGTGGGGAAGGTCTCTGTGTCCTAGCATCTAGCACAGTGCTTGTTGTGTGTTTTCCTGTCTGCTGAATGAGTGGCAGTTGGGCACCGTGTTGTCACCCTGGCTGTTGGGGGACAAAATGGGGAAGTGGGGACCAAAGGACCTGGAGGAGGCTAGTGCTTAGGTGGGTCTCCTGCTTCCTTGAGCCCCTGAACCATTTCTACAAGTGTCCTTCCCTCCAGCCTAGGCTTGGCTCCCCCTGGTGGCAGCTGGAAAGTAGCGACAGACCCCGTGGGCCAGGTGGAGGCTGCAGGAAAGGGAAGGAGAGGAAGGGGCCTCGGCCAGGAGGAAGCTGGGAGGAGGCTTTGACCTCAGGGCAGCCCTCCCTCAAGCTCCCTGCCCCCCCTCCCTGCAGCCCCTCCTGCAGCATGAATTCCCCACCCACTGTGTCATCAAAGGCCTAAAGGCCTTACAAGAAACTTTTGAGGGTGATGACTTAAAGCTGGGCCATGTGACGCCCAACTAACCTACATGCTAGAGGTATGTGTATTGCCCTGCTTAGTCTATCAAAATGATCTGTCCAAGCCAGCTGTCCTGCTTTGTTTTGTATTCAAATCCTGAATCAAAACCACAAGATGTGAAGGAACTCATGACAACTATATGGGCGAAGCAGTGAGACCCAACTGCAGCAGTGCGTGGATGTGAATGTGGCAGTGGAGACTTGGAGACTATAAGAACTGATCCAGTTAATAAAAAAAAAAAAAAGCAGAGCTGAGAGGAATGAGTCTTAACCTATTGTAACTTGATTCTGTAGTTTCAGGGATTTTTGCTTCAAAATGAGCTTTTCCTTCACCCCAAGTTTTAATTTTGCACTTAGTAAGTGAGCTCGTGCAGGAGAATATAGGGGAAAAGAGCTCAGGAAAGGGGAAAGATGGTGGAGTCCGACTCTGAGGGCCAGTGGAGAGCCTTGGGTCTCCCTTGGGGCTTGAGGTAGGGGACACCAGGCCACCTCCGAGGACATACAATGGGCCAGTAGCAAAGACAATCACATACACAGGGGCCTCAGTCAGAGCAAGGAACCTGCCATGTTTCTGAGCTTCTAAGCTGGTAAGGTTACAAAGGTCTAGCATGGAAAATGCTATCCTGTTGCTTTGTCTGTCTGTCTCTCTTTCACTTTCCAAGCAAGCCACCCCTTGGTGGTGCCACCCCTTGGCACATCCTCAAAAAGAATGGGGAGATCAAGAAGCTTTGTGGCAAGATCTACTAAGGAACATCAAAGGTGAAGGGTATCCAGGCTTCCTGGCAGGAAGAATTGGGCAGAGGGGAATGGAAGGTGGTGGCCAGGAAGAGTCGACTTTCTCATGAGCCTCAGTGCTAACAGAAAAGCTCTCAGGATGGGCAAGGCCAAAGGACCCAACAATGCCCTGCAAACCCTTGACCTTTGCAATCTTTGGGGTCATGTAGGGCAGCGACTAAATCATTATCAGAGGTTATCTCATCTTTGAGGTCAAATTCCACTTCCTGAAGTTCTAAGGAAAGGACTGTGGCCTCTTCATTATTACTCTCTATATACCTCAACCCCCATTTCATATTCCCCTGCGAGAAACAATTCAAAAGAAAGTGATTTCTTTCCCCATCTTAAACATTCTGCTCCAAATGCACCGAATGACTGCAAGTCACATTCCTGGTTATCAAACTTACAGCAAACTCAGAAACCAGAATTTCTTTCAGATTTGACAACTAACATGTGGCCTTAACTTTTGATTTAACATCTAACCTCATGATCTTATCCCTGAAAAAACATATTTTTACAACATAGGTTTTTCTTACCAGAACAATGTCTTCTGAGGCAACTAACATCGACGGCCTGGCAGAAACCTACAGAAGAGCAACCTGAGAACTTGTGGCAAGGTGGACCAGATGCCCTCCCCCAACCTCACAGGTAATACAAGGCATCTGAACATGCCTAACATTTTCGTTCCCCTGCAGTTCTGTAAACACTCAGAAGACTGAAAAAGATGACTGAGAAAAAATGCCTGAAGCGATGCTATGGAACATACAGTTTTAGCCATCATAAAATTTGGAGACTTTTATTCTTAAACCAGGAGTCTTCAGACTGGCAAAGATCTGCAAGTGAGGAACAGGCCTCCAGACATGGTTTAAGAGTAAAACAAGCGGGGGGACCTTCAGCTATAGCACCCTTGCCTTTAAACCACGACCTCGTGACAGAAGCTGCCCCTTCTGTTGGCAAGGGAGCCAATGACTGGTACTGAGGGGAGGGATACCACTGGTGAACTTTGGGATAATCACTTGCACAAAGGCTGAGCCTCTTAGAGCACACTTACAGGTGAGCCAGCAAATAATTAATAGGCACCTTTGGTTAATCCTTGGCCTGGTAATGAGGTATGAATTAACTTGGGTGTGTTCCTGGCCCCAGGGTTGTGCTTATTCTAACTTTCCTTTCTCTCATTTGCAGCTGTGAGAGAACAGCAGAGATGACCCTGGTGACTATGTGGGTGGGTTCCAGAAGACTCCAAAGACACAAGACCTTCCTATAACCAATCTCTTGGTTTTACCACAGGGTTGCAAAAGGCTTAGTTAGGGAAATGAGAGTGGATCCCTGGGAAAGGCAAGGCAAGGGAGAACCAAGGGCACACGAAGCCAGGGCTCGGGGCTCCTGGAGCCAATCAACTGAAGCTGCATCTGGCTGAAGACTGGAGAAACAGATTCAAGGGCAGGAGGCTGGTTCTATGTCCTGAGGGAATGTAATGGTTATTTTTACAAATAGGCCATTTACTCCCTCATCGGCCTCCAGTCTTAGACGTGGGGCCCCAGGCCAACAGAGCTTCCTCCATCCTCAGTTTTTTGTGAGAGAGGTGCCACCAATAACCAGACTCCTTTGCAGGAGTCTTTTTCCCTCCCTCTCACAACCAGAGCTGGTAAGAGGAGGATGGCAGAAAGGGAGAGACTGCATTTTTTTTTTTTTTTACATTTCAGACATACATATGATTCTAATAACCCTCAGGTTAAGGGTTACATGCTCTTAATAAGCAAATTAAATACTTCAGCAGGAAACATTTATATTCTAAAATCTGGGAAGACCAGCAACCCCAACTAGAGATGAAATAAATCTTTTATAAAGGCATTAGCTTGGGAAGTGGCAAGCTTAGCCTTGGTCTAAGTAATCTCCTTTTCTCTGGTTCTGAGAGTGTCTGGGGGAAGAACCTGGTGAAGCCTCTGGCTCAGTAGATATGTGGTCATTGGAGGTGGTTTCCACTGAGCTCCCGCTGCCATTTCATTCCGCTCTGGTGCCTCTTCCTCAGGCCCCAGCAGATCTGTTACTACCATTGTTCTACAACTGCAAGAATCACTTGCCATTTGGGACACAGGGCTCTCACCCCTGGAGAAATAAGGACCACCCTGGGGGGTGCTTATGGCACTCTGAAGAGTGTCACAGGAAACGGGATGTTCACCTCCCCTCACCAAGAATAGGAAACAGAAGATGGGGACTGAAGGCCTTTCAGTGACCTCAAAACCTTATCTTAGGAATTGGATTAGCAAAGCAGTCCACAGTAGTGGTCTTATGTCAAAATATTCTGAAACGGCAGTCCCTGATGACAGACCCACTACTTCCGGCAACAGCACAGTCAGCAAGTTAGGGCATCGAAGATCCATGTCAGGTTCTCCCAGGAGACTTGAGGTGGAAGTGCCTAGAGCGTCAGAGCTGCACATTTCCCTGTTCACTTTGGCCCCTTTTGAATCACTTCTTCCAATAGATTTATTGTAAAGTAGATATCCCAGTATTCAGCACAAAGTCAAAACAGAAGGCAGAATCAGGCTTCAAAGGGAAGAGCTCTTCACAGACCTCCAGGAGCATGTAGCAAAGGATGCCCTTATTTGATGATGCACTAAGAAAGTCACTTGAACTTTTTAGAATGTGTTATAATTCATCCTTAAGTTTGCCCTTCACCAAATGGTTTTTATTTCAAAGGGCTGAAATTAAATGTGAGATACATCTCAACTACTAATAAAGGGAGGGGAATGGCCACATTTGGCAAAATTAGATCAAAAGGAATAAATTATAGAAACTATTCTCCTCTCATAAGAAAATACCTAATTCCTACACTCATTCCACCCACACCCCCAGGAATAAGAACCAGAGATTCCACAGGTATTATGCATCTGATCATCCAAGTATAATGAAATGCACAGACTCATACTGTATCTAGTTTTCAGTAAACCCCAGACTTCTAAAAGTCTTATTACTGATTAAAACTGCTGCTAATGCTTTCTCTTGGCTTAGCAACGTAGCTAAAATTTAAACACAAATTAGAGCTACCATAAGTTGGCAAGATACCTAAACCAAAGCTCTGGCAGAGGGACTAGTATTGATGACATAGACCCATGGTCACACACAACAGACAGAGACACTTTATTAGTCTTGTCTATTACAAGAGACAGTAACATCTTTTTAACAGAAATCTCAGGTCATATGAGAGGCCAAATAGATCCAAGGATGAAAATTAAATATTTAACGATGAAAATTAAATATTTAAATTAATCAAAAGGCACTACACCACCACCTAAAACCTACTACCACAATGGTAGCCGGCTAAGGAAGATTAAGCTACAGAGTGAAGTCATTTCATGTAAATGTTAGAGATTACAGAGCAGGAAGTGAGTTTGATTTCCAGAAGACTATGGGAGCAATGATCACTTGGGCCCAAGAGGATATTTGGCCAGGAAAAGGTCGAGATGGCTGTAAGTCAAGCCAAAGTGGAAAGGAACAGATACAAAGGAGAATCCAAGTAACAGTTCCTAAGCAGAGGGTGATGGATCAGGCTTTTTCCTCCCAAGAAACATTTGCTGCACTGTGTGCTGCATCTACTCAGGCTTCTGCCCGAGAGCTGCTGGAGCTGAGAGCTGCCAGCTCCTGTCTTAAGGGGCTTGGCAACCAGGGCTCCTGCAGTAATATAACATAGACCTTACAGAGCTTATCAAATAAGGGGGTGGGGAGAGGTAAACAGGGGTGGGAGTAAGGGACTGGGCTGGCTTTGTTGCTAGCAGTTCTGAACCAAGGAAAACCCTGAAGCATTCACATGCAAAGTAGTCTAAGTACCCTAATTGAATTCAAATACCCCTATACAACACCCTCCAAAGTTTGAAATCTTACAATAGCTATGCTGTAAAGCTGCAAGACTCACAAAATTTAAGTAGCCAGAATGAGACAATGCAGGTAGGAGATGTCAACAATTAATCTCAACCTGTCTTCCCCTAAATCAGGAGAAACACTATTTATTATACCTGATGTGGGACTTAGTAAACTACACTGGAGCAAGCTGGGTCTTCTGCTCAATAGTTCATCAAATATCAAGGGAAAACAGGGATGGGGTTCAGTTTATTTTTAAAAAGCTTCGGTCAATTCTATTATAAAGGGACATGGCTGAACAGGTAAGAAACCGATTCTCCATTGTGAGTTCTCCTGATGGCTTCTGCAAGGATCATGGAGATGTCAATCACCTAGGAAGGTGGGAAAAGCATCAGTTTAGTATCCTATTGTCAGAGATGGCTGGGTAATTTGCAGACACATAGGAGCCTAATGAAGGGTCCTTCCTCTTAAAGCTGCTGCACTGTGCCATTTTCCCTCATGAGGCTGCATCCAGCTTGTCTTCGTAACATTTTTAATATCACTTGGGAAAGAGTCAAAATGCTGATGGAGGAAAACCCTAAGACTCACCAAGCTTGGTGGTGGGTTGGCATTTCAAAATTCTTAGGAATGAAAAAAAATTTAGGCTGAAAGAAAATCCCTAAAATGACAGCCTTCCACATACTAAATCCAGAAAGCTAATGGATTACTGTGCACATTTTTAATTGAGCAAGGCTTTGCTCTTTCAGTGCAACAGCACTCAAACATTAGTGTCTAATGATTACTCGAGGAACTAAAGTACTGGTCTGAGTCCTCCAATTCTGTAGGTCTTGGATGGAGCAAAGGAATCAAGAACCCTAGAAGTAATTCATTTTGGTTTCCAGAGCACACTTTGAAAAATGCTGACATTCTAAGGAGTGTACCATCAGCTCAAAGGCTTCACATATCTGCAAGGGCCAACAGTCAAGAGTGATATACATACTTTAAAGCATGGATCTGCTACCATGCGTGTGTGTCACAATCACTGGAAGAGCCTGGTAAATGTAAAATCCTAGGCTCCATCCTCCAGAGATTGAGGTGAAACAATTTGAATATTTAAACATGTGACTTCCACCCTTTTGGATCACAGATCTATCTCAGTGACAAACTAAATCCTTAAGAGCAAAAGAGGATATTTTCAAAATTCAGACACCTAATGCAACATTTCCCCACATTCTAAATTCTCAGTGGAGTCTTATTTTGCAAGAATACCACCCTTACCTGTATTTTGGAGCAATGCTTCATCTTGTCCTCCTGAGGTATGGTGTTGGTAACTACTACTGCTTCAAAGCATGCATTGTTAATGCGAGAAATGGCTGGGCCAGAAAAGATTCCGTGAGTCAAGATAGCATAAACTCTCGTAGCTCCAGCTGAGAGAAGTCTAGAAGAAAAAGCAGAGTTGATCTGGATGAACCTTACTTGTCACTACAGAATCTGAGTTAGGAAAGAGGAGTGTATTAGTCAGCTTAGGCTGCCATAACAAAATATTGTAGACTGGGTGGCTTAATAGGATTTTATTTCTCACAGTTCCGGAACCTGGGAAATCTAAGATCAAGGTGCCAGCAAGGTAGGTTTCATTTTAAGTCGTCTTTGGCTTGTTGGTGGCCACCATCTCGCTGAGTGCGCTCATGACTTCTTTATGTGTACACACAGTGTGCAGGAAATCAGGGAGCATGCGCGCTCTGGTATCTTTGTATAAAGGTACTAACCTCATTGCAAGCCCCCCATCCATCGAAACTTAATTACCTCCCCAGAGCCCCAACTCCAAATACCATCACACTGAAAGTTACGGCTTCAAAGCAGTAATTTTAGGGGGGACAATTCAGCACATGGCACAGCAAAAGAAATGACTAATTACTGATCTGAATGGATTTGGATCAGTTCAAAAGGACTATGGAAGACTGCTACACTTAATGAAATCTACCTCTTCTTCCTGGACAGACAGCTGGAATTCATATCCCAATTTCCGTTGCATAGTCATATATGGCCATACAACTTAAGTCTGGCTATCAAAATGTGGACAGATATAATGTATACCATTTCTTGGTTGGTTCTTATAAAAATCTTCTGAGTGATCCTCTAGGCTCTTTACCCTTTCTGGCTGGTCAAAGGAGAATAGTGACATTGGAATATACCATGAATGAGAAAGAAACTGATCGTGCTGAGTCACTGACATTTTAGGTAGTTGAAATGGCAAACAACACTGAACATTACCTCATCAATATGACAACAAAAAGAGTTTTATAAACCCCAGGATCTAAGTCAGGAATCATTCAGCACACAATTTTTTAGCACTTAATACATGCCTATGCAAAGCAGGTTAAAAAAATTATGGGGGGTGGGGGAGGATGGAAGGCATGGATAGAGGGGATCAATTTGATGCTGGTTAATGACACTAAAAATTTAGTAATGGGTGGTGTGGTATATATACCTATTGAAGTGTGAAGCTGTACTTCTGAAACATAGCATTATAAAGCAATGACAACTTTATTACAATTTAAAAAAAATTAAATCTTAAGAAAAATGAGCAACAATGTTGTCCATAGTGGCTTGGACTGTAAGCAATGGTGAGCCACGTAAAGTTTTTTTTTTTTAAAGACTTATTTATTTATACAAGAACTGGGGTATAAGCCAGAGGTGCAGGAGGGTGAGAGAATTCACCAGAGACAGAGCAGGGAGCAGAACAGGCAGGCGGACAGAAAGCACTGCTGAGGGGAGCAGCAGGCTAGGCAGGAGAGGTCTGCGCCATGAGGGTATCTCCCTGGCCAGCTGGGAATCGAACCCTTGCTGCAGCAGACAGCTTCACAGCACTGTGCTCAACCCGCTGCACCACTGAGGAGGCCCACCATTTAAGGTTTTAAAAGAGAGGTAACAATGGGATCTAGTCTTAGTTTTAAAATGACTAGCAAATAGGAAGGCAATGTGAAAGATGGAGAGATAAGAGACTGATGCTGGTAGCAAAGCTAACAGAACATGATTTAGAGCAATGCAAGCAAGAAGTGAGCAGTAATATGAGCAAAGGTAGTAGCAGCTAACATGGACAGTCAAGAGGTAAGAGCCATGTTTCTAGCTTAGGCAAGATATAAATACGAAAATACATTATACACTGAATGGACTTTTATCTTGTTTATTAGAAAATCTAAAAAAAGGGCTTCTCTGGTGGCGCAGGGGTTAAGATGCAACCTATGAAGCAATCCGCAGCCACTGCAGCACGAGTTCGATTCCCGGTCTGCCAGGGAGAAACCCACATGGCGGGACAGACCTCTCCTGTCTCCCCCACTGCTTCCCTCCGTAGTGTACTTCGGTCTGTCTGCATGTTCTGTTCCCTGCTCTGTCTCTGGTGAATCCTCTCCCCCCCCCATATCTCTGGCCTGTACCCCAATTTTTGTATAAAAATAAATCTTTAAAAAAAAAATCTAAAAAAAAAAAAAGGGCCTCCCAGGTGGCGCAGCGGTTGAGCGCTGGGTTGCGAGGCTGCCCGCAGCCTCTGCAGCGCTGGTTCGATCCCCGGCTGCTCCCCGGCCACCGGAGGAGGGTCCCACATGGCGCGCAGACCTCTCCTGCCGCCTGCTGCTCCCCTCAGCAGTGTACTTCGGTCCTTCTGCCTGCTCTGCTCCCTGCTCTGGCTCTGGTGAATTCTCTCACCCTCCCGCGCTTCTGACTGTACCCAATGCTTGTATAAAATGAATAAATAAATCTTTTAAAAAAAATCTAAAAAAAGTAGTCTTCCAAGTGATGATGAAACTTTAGGAATACAGCGGCAATATTTGTCCGACATTGTAAATGTAGTTAACACCACTGAGTTGTATACTTAAAAATGGAAAAATTTTATGTTCTCTATAGTTTAGCACAAAAAAAATTAAGGAAATCTGGGGCAAAAAACCCAAATATTATCAATGTATATGTATTCATGACATAAGCCTAAAATTCCCAAAACTAGTCATCACCTCAATTCAGTTCCTAAAAACCAATCAGCAGGTTTAAGGTACTCAGATCATATGAGCTTTTAATTTCTAACCACTGGTCCCACCACTCAGCACTCACTTGTCAGCCGCGTGGCAGATTGTGCCACAAGTGTCGGCCATGTCATCCACCAGGATGGCCACCCGGTCCTTGACATCTCCCACCAGCACCATGCGGTCCACTTCATTGGCCTTCTTCCGTTCTTTGTGAATTAAGGCAAAGTCCACATTCAACCGGTCTGCAATGGAGGTCACTCTGCAAAAAAGGGTGTTCACTGCTAAAACCGTTTGCATGACTCCTAAAATAAAAGAAATGCACTCCAGCATGGTCATGTTTTCTGAGGGTGACTACTCCTTGATGCCAAACATTTCCCAGGGCTGGAAGAGAGCAACGATAATTGACATCACAAGCTGAAATTTATACTGATGTCTCCATATCCCAAGAGCAGTTTATGAATTTATTAGTTAAACTCAGATTATAATTCATTGGGTTATAGTAGGGGGCAGATATGTTCTCACTAGTCCCAGGAAGTAGTATAAAAAGCAAAGGCACATTCATTTAATGGACTGGCAGCTGGAGGGTACAGAGAGAGAAGACATGGCTAATGCAAGGAGTGCAGATTGTCCCAATTTGACATGTGGATGTGAGAACTGAACCTGAACCTGGTGGGAGAGAAGCAGTATCCAGCCCATTCCAATGCCTGTGCCCTCCATCACGCCCCTCAGTGATCCACCAACTGTCAATGTCAGTGGTACCTGGATACTGAACTTGGGAGTTTCTTTTACAAATGCTAAGAAAGCTAAACCCATTAACCGGGCAAACCGGGTTCCTGCCTGTTCAGTCCAAAGTATTTCCAAATCGGGCCTCCCCGGTGGCGCAGCGGTTGAGCGCTGGGTTGCGAAGCTGCCCGCGGCCTCTGCGGCGCCGGTTCGATCCCCGGCTGCTCCCCGGCCACCAGAGGAGGGTCCCACATGGTGCGCAGACCTCTCCTGCCGCCCGCTGCTCCCCTCAGCAGTGTACTTCGGTCCTTCTGCCTGCTCTGCTCCCTGCTCTAGCTCTGGTGAATTCTCTCACCCTCCCGCGCTTCTGACTGTACCCAGTGCATGTATAAACAAACAAACAAATAAATAAATTAAAAAAAAAACAAAAAAAAAAAAAAACAAAGTATTTCCAAATCAAAACGGTATTTTTATTTTTCTTATTACAAAATACAAACCAGACTAGAAGGTGGAACAGGAGACAAATCTGATAACAATTCTCATATAATTCATTCAAACAGAAATTTACTTGGTATAAATAACAATGTCACCTTGGAAGTGATAATGTACATCCCTGTTCCACTGCCATGCTGTCATCCGTAAAGAGGCCTATGCTTTGAGCTTTGTTCTTTAATGGAACACTGACCCAACCAGAGCACTATGTCCTGTCTCCATTGTGACTATCTATGGTCACATATCTGAGTTGTTTTTGCTAGATGGGGATGGGGGAGGAAACTATGACCATATACCAGAAAACTCACACGGTCTGAACTGCAACCTCGGCAAGATCTGTGCCAGGATCAAAATGAACCATGCCCTGTGCTCTCCACTATGTCATTAGTAAGTAAGCTGCTTGGAACGATTACTGATTTGCGGCAAATGCATGATCAATTAGTTCAAGCATCCCAAACCATGACACTCACTGGCCAACAAACCCACTACCTGACAATGCATAAAGGGTTACAAAAAGTTACTCTCTGCACCCTTGGGAGGAGAACTATGTGCAAGACACAATCACATACTCCAAAAAACATGCCAAGACACAACTGAGGGCCACTCATTTTGAAAATGCTCCACCACTGTACGAAAATTACAAGCAAACAAAAGAAACCATGGAGCAATAAATCAATTACTGAAGGCAGTTTTTCTGTACTCAACTTTGAAAAGAAAATCCACCTTGAGCATTTCAAATGTGACTAGTTTCTGAGTGCCACGGCAAGAGGGAAAAATAATGCCCAACAAGTATGGCAACTACCATTAGGGGAATGTTTTTTTAGGATCTGTCTCTGGTATTACACATGGTTACCAGTGATTACATGGGACTCACAAAGCCACACACCTGGCCGGATGACAGAACTCAAGTTCTCAGCTTATCAGTTCTATTGAAGTTACTAAAATAAAGAGGTTGTTGAGAAACAGTCTCAAGATTTGAATGGCTTTTAGAAAGATCTGAACTAGCTTTTCCTAATCATCTGTGTTTTGTAGCTCTTCATTCTATTTCCACAACAAGAAGAACATGTGTCATGATTTTGAATGCATTACTAATGAGTGATCCACTAAGGAAATCAAGAGCTCTTGGTCTGCACCATGTGGGCTGTAAAGCACTGCAATTGAAGCACTGACAATCAGTTTAAAACATTAAGGTCTTGGATTGAAAGAAAATGACAACACTTCATTTTCCTTCCCATGTTAACATTTCAATCCCAGGATCAAAATGACTGTTTAACCAATAGCATTTTAAGAAGTATGTAAAAACTTACTTGTCCACCAATATAGGGTTCAATAGCAGGCACCATTCATTAGAAAACCAAATTTTCTACCCTTCTTGACAGCAGGTCTGCAATGCTACGTTAAGGTGGGTTACAGTCAAGCCCAGAAACTATTTAGGGTTCCTTTCCTGCTGTCTTGTCTTCCAGGCAATGACTCAGGCCAATAAAAGAGCAAGTAAAACTATTATCTATTTCATGTCCCTGTTTGGTAGGGAATTAAAAAGAGTCACTTGGAGAGAAAATCACATTCTGATACAACTATCTGAAGGGTTTCCCCAGGGCCTTGGGAATAATACAGATTTCTACCATACCTCTTAGCCCCACCAGCATCGGGTGAGACAATAGTACAGTTCCTCCACTCAGAGATGTTCTCCCATATCCACTTCAGGACAGCTGGCTCTGCATACAAATTGTCCACTGGGATGTCAAAAAAGCCCTGTAGAAAGAAGGGAATCAGTTGGGCTTCACTGTCTTTCTCTTCACTTATTAATGACACAAAGACAAATAGTAACTTGCCTGATTAGAAGGCATGCTCAGTGTGGTAGTTTATAAAAATGGCCTTCTCCAATCTGGTCTGTGCAAGAGGGTCCAGCCATGACCAGAGAAGCCAGCCTCAAGCTAACCCTCAACTGTCCACAGGCACGTGAATGACCCCTTAGGTAGAAGGACCAAGTTCAGTAGAACTACCTATCCAGTGGCAGACTCATGACTTCATAAATCCTTACTGCTTTACGCTATCAAATGTTGGGCTGGTTTATCCGGGAGCAAAAGCCAAGCAGTAAGCAGTTAGAGTGACTATAGTATATAAACTCAGTGGAAGGGATTTTTAACAAATGGTCACAGAATTTTACAAGTCAGAAAATCTGTGTCTTAATACTAGTTGTTACAGATTAGTTGTGTTTCTCAACTAATTTGTTCCCTCTTTTTTAAAGTGGGTGTAATTATTACTTGTCCTATGTACATCACTGGATTACTGTAAGCCTCAAATAATGATCTGAAAATCTCTTTAAAAAGTATAAAACATAAGGTGTATTCCACTTCCCTTACTCTGGGTTTGTGCTAGAAAGTATATACTAAGTCCTCACCTAACGTCAATAGGTTCTTGGGAACTGACTTTATGTGATGTGTATGAGGATATATAATGAAAGCAGGTCCTCGAATAGCTTCATTCCTTTAAAGGTGGCTGGAATTGTTTTTCTCTCATCAACATTGTAAGGAAATGGTGCTGAACGAAATTACATTCATTATTTGAGGACCTGCTGTGGGTTCCAGTAGCTGTGGTTCTAAATTAAGACCCTGAATATTCAAGGGAAATAATAATTATGACAGTAAGTTTCCATGCATTAGGACCTGAGCCACATTATACTGAGCCGGACATATACTATGAATTTAAAATCTTACTTAGTACAATAACAAAGCAGTGTCATGTTCAGAAGTTAAATAACCTGCCATGGTTACAAAACTAGTAAGTTCCAGAGCGAGTATTCAATCTATTAATAGATTGCTAATGCCTACAATCTTCCTAGAGCATGAGAATGTCTCCCTATCCAACTACCCCAAATGACTAAGATCATGAACTATACTTAAGGTGAGTATGTTTAAAATGTCATCAGTGTCAAGTTTATTGGAGCTGCTTATGGGCAGCTTTTTTGCTTCTCTGCAGTGCTCAGCACTATCAGTCTTCTTTTCCCACCTTTCTAACTCCCAGTATTTAGCTCCCATAGATACCTGAATTTGAGAAGCATGCAGGTCCATGGTGATAATATGATCTGCACCTGCTACTGATAGCATGTTTGCAACAAGCTTGGCTGTGATGGGAGCCCGGCTCTAAATGGAGGGAGGAAAAGAAAAAAAATGAGAAACAATGTATGTGCTCAAGAAGCATTTATTTATTGTACATCTACTATGTTTAAGGCACAGGACTCCTGGAAATTCATAGAAAGTGACACAGCCACTGACTTTGAGTAGATCACAATCTAGCACCAACTTTTCAAATTCAGGATACGTGTTTCAGAAGAAAATACCTTTGTACCTTTCCTTTTCTTAATGTATATATCCAGTCTATTTAAGTGTTCCCAAGCTTAAACTAGGGAGACTTAAAAAAAATCTTTTAAAAAAGAATTTTATTAAAATCTTATAACATAGCCTTACTCAAACCTGTCATAACATGTCAAATTTTAAGGACACATCACAGAATAAAAATTACAGTTTATTCTGTAAGGATACCACTCCCCTTACTCATGTGAATGTCAATCTTCCAGCAACATCAATCCCCCTTAAATAACGGGGACAGATCTGTGGCACTATAAAATAGCAAAGCCCATGCCCTCTACACTATACAGGAATAAAACATTCCCAGTGTTCTATGCATTGGGTGTAAAATTTGGGCACTGATTATAACAGACCCACAAAGCATTAGGTATGTCTTATCTTCTAACATACCAGATAAATAAGACGAGCGCACGTATGTATGGGTGTGAGAAGAGAGCTCAACTAGAACCCCAAGAGGGTCCCAGAGAACTCACCATAATTTAAAAAAACGTTCTACTCCATGGGAGTTGGTGCATAGTCTTACAGATACAATTGAAAACTGGCAGTGAGCTAATTCAATGTCACGTGTGTGACAAAAGCAAAATGTGCAGATTACAAATGTGTTGATCTATATAAACCAATCACATGCCTATTGTTTTGAAGATGGGGAAATACCTGAGAAAATATGGTGATTCTGATGGCTAAGGAATTTTTGCTGACTTTGGGCAAGTGCTTCTGCTTCACTTAATTAAAAAAGAGCATAAACAAAAATAGGAGGTTCTGCTCCTACCTTATCCTTCTTATCTTGCCGGGCATAAGGGAAGCATGGGATGACTGCAGTAACTTGGCGGGCAGAAGCAATCTTACAGGCATTAATCATGATCAAAAGTTCCATTAGATTGTCGTTGATTTCGCCACAACCACTCTGTACAATATAGACATCTTCTCCTCGTACACTCTCACCAATTTCCACACTATAGTGGGAAAGGAAGAACAGCAGAATAATAGATTTTTAAGCATTATCTTATACTTCACAGGCAGTAGAAAAAAGTATAGCTAATACACTGCTAAATAGTGTATTATGAATAGGTTACAGCTGCATGGACATTGCTCCCCTCTAACTTCAGGGGATACCTTGGAAGAACCATTACTGCCTCAGTTTACTCCAGTAGACCCTACATATATTACCTATTTTTACATGTGGCATGACATGAAAAAGATTAGTCAAAATAGTTACATGTCATTGGACCATAATTTCAGTAGGTGGCCACAAGTACGTGACATGTGGATGCAAATTTGATGCACCACCTGTGACTGCCACAATCCATAGATAACAAAGAAGTAAAAAAATCAGGTAAGATGCAATCACTACTGTCCCATAATGATGCCGTCTGCAGAAGATAGTACACCTCATTTACCATACTGGCAGTGCGTTCCACAAATACTGTATACTCTTATGCCAGTCACTCTACCAGGTGTCAAAGACACAATGGAGAGCCGAACTGCTGTAGCCCTGGCCCTCATTCTACGCTAAACACTCTGGTCCATTTAGTAAATCTCATTTTAAAAAATGCCACCAGAAGTTACACTAATTATAGACTGGGGTTATTATTTTGCCATAAAATAAAAGTTTTAATACCCATATTTGGGTCCTTATCAAGAATAACATGATTAAAAAACAATCACCTCAGTTGAACCTCAAAGCAACACCTTTTTCCAAATTAATCCTCTAGATGAGGTGGGGGTGTTTTGGGGTGTGCATGTGTGTGCATAGTGTGCACAGATGAAGGGTTCATCAGGAGATTATTCCATTGCCAGAAGGAGTGAATTCTGAAATATTATTTACTATGTATTCCTTTCCAGTCCAAGAAAGGATCACACTTCTAAAGAGGAATGGGACAAGGTTGGTTGCTCATGGGCATTTGATGGCAGGAGTGGTGAGAAAATGTAATCTTGGAACCTACAGTGTTGTAAGGTAAGGTTACCTCAAAAAAAGATGGAAAAAATGAATAAGGTTTGTTCATTTTATATATAAAAAAAAGCAAATAGCAAAACCCAAACTAGAAACCAATTAAAATAGGTAAGCTGGCACTGACATTCCTGGTAATCAGAAGAAAGAACAAGACATTGGTTTGGAATATCTAGAGATAAACCTCCAGGCACTAAATTGAAGTTTTGCATCAGACATCCTTATTTTTAATCTATTCTGGGGCATTAAATTTAAGTATTTTACATTAGCTCATTATTTGCTCAAATCAATAACCTAAGTTCCTATATTAAGAACAGCAGCATTATTCATAATAGCCAAGACATGAAACCAATCTAAATGTCCATCGACAGATGACTGGATAAAAATTGTGGACTATAGGGCCTCCCCCATGGCACAGCAGTTGAGCTCTGGGTTGCCAAGCTGTCCGCAGCCTCTGCAGCACCGGTTTGATCCCGGCCGCCAGGCGAGGGTCCCACATGGCACGCAGACCTCTCCTGCCGCCCGCTGCTCTCCTCAGCAGTGTACTTGGTCGGTCTGCCTGTTCTGTTCCCCGCTCTGGCTCTGGTGAATTCTCTCACCCTCCTGCCCTTCTGACTGTACCCAGTGCTTGTATAAATAAATAAATCTTAAAAAAAAAAAAAAAGATTAGGAGAAACGTTAAAAAAAAATTGTAGACTATATACACAATGGAATATTATTCAGCTATCAAAAAAAGAAAACAGTGCTTTTTGGGAAATGATAGATGGATCTCAAGGCGATAGTAATTTACTAAGCCAAATATATCAGAAAATGAAAGACAGTTACTGGATGGTCTCACCCATTTGTGGAATATAAATACTGAAAGAGAACAAACTGACAAAACAAGGGTAACTTTTAGACTCTATGAATAATATACTGGTTACCAAAGGGAATGAGGGGGTGAGGGTAGGGGAGAGGGGAGGAAAGATTGTGTACTGGTGCTCTGGGGGAGAGTGAGGCAAGTACACATGTGAAGTTCTATTACCAAAAATATATAGTTATGTACATTAGTGGCAAATCAAAACTTAAATAAGAAACTACAGGGCCTCCCCGGTGGCACAGAGGTTGAGCGCTGGGTTGCGAAGCTGCCCACAGCTTCTGCAGCGCCGGTTCGATCCCCGGCCACCGGGGAGGGTCCCACATGGCGCGCAGACCTCTCCTGCCGCCCGCTGCTCCCCTCAACAGTGTACTTCGGTCCTTCTGCCTGTTCTGTTCCCCGCTCTGGCTCTGGTGAATTCTCTCACCCTCCCGTGCCTCTGACTGTACCCAGTGCTTGTATAAATAAATAAATAAATAAATCTAAAAAAACCAAAAAAACAAAAAAAACCAAAAACTACAAAGTGGGCAAAATAAGAGTAAAATAAGGTAGGGAAGAAAATAATCAACATCAGCTATCAATGAAAACTAAAAACGGGAAAATGGAGAAAACCAATGAAATAAAATGTGATTCTCGGAGGTAGGGGGAGTAGAATAAAAAAACTGATAAACCTTGAGGAAGAATGACCAAAAATAACTTCACCAGAAAATTTGACCCAACATTTGATTGAATTTTGCACACATCTTCCCAGAAAACAGGCAAGGAGGGGATAGTTTCCAACTCATTTTATGAAGCAAGTATTATCCAGATACTAAAGCCAAAGGCAATACAGTCAATAAAAAAAAAGAAGTGCAGAAGAGGGGGAGGAGGAGGAGAACGGTGGCTCTGATTACAGTTGGGCAATAGAAAACATTTATGTGGTGATAAAACCGTGTGTCTTGACTGTATCAAGGGTAGCATCCCGCTTGTTTCATTGTACTATACTTTTTCCAAGACTAGATTGGAAAAACGATGGTCTGGGAAAGTGGGTAATGCGTACACAGGATCTCTCTATTACTGTCCTTCCTACAATTGCATGTGAATCTACAATTATCTCAAATTTCCATTTTAACAAAGAATATTATTATACCTAGTGTATTCTTGAGTCAGCCGTTACTGCAGCACTCAGTGAAAGCTGAGGTCATAAAAGTGTAACACCAAAGGCACTTCTGTACTAAGTCAAAAAAAACCAAGTCCAGTTGTACTTTCAAAGAAAAGTATGTGATATTGTGAGGCAATCTGGAGAACTCTGGCTTTAAGTCAATTTAAGAACTAGCTCATCTCAAAATATTTTCTCCCTTGCTTACCATGCATCAGTCACACTAGCTTCCTTTCCATTCCTCGAATACGCTCTCCCCACTTCACAGCCTTCACACTTCTTCCCACTACCTGGAATGCTCTTTCTATAACCAACTCATTCACTTCTCAGATCTCCAAATAAAATATCTTCCCTGACCGTCTTATAAAAATTACTTCCCAGAGAGCCCAGAACAAAGTAACTTAAAAAACATTCATTGATTGCACTAATCGGACCTTATTTGCACAGCGATTTAAGCTAACAGTAAAAAGAAAACTTTTATGAGTTAGGGAAATTGTAGCAACGGCTGCTTATTTGATATCAAGAGATTATAGTTCAATTATTTTTAGGCATGAAAATGACATTGTGACTACTATAGTATGCATGGATGATGGTATGATATCTAGTGTTGTCTCAAAATGATGCAATTGTTTGTGGGGGTGTGGGTGGAGGAGAAATAAAGGTGAAACAAGAATAGCCATAAATTGATAACTGCTAAACTAAGCGATGTGTGAAAAGTAGGTAGATTTCAGTATGATTCTGTTTTTCGTATATGCTTGAAATGTTCCTTGATTCTCCCCAATTATTATCCTGGTGATTCCCTTCAGAACACTTATCAGAATTTGTTATCACCTTATTTTTAAATGCATTTTTAATTGTCTGTTCCACTGTAAGACAGGGACCAGCTCTGCCAGGCCCAGGCATATGAGCATGAATGAGTGAGAGTGAGTGAGTGTGGGAATACCCCTCAGGATTAGGCTGTACTTTGCCTGAATTCACTTTAGACAGAATGTGAACTGCTACAGCCTGCTTTTGTGAAAATTCAGAACAGACTTTCATTATCTTCTACAAAATAACTCACAGGCAAGTGGGTCCAATATGTTTCTCTCTCTCTCTCTCTCTCTCTCTCTCTTTTTTTTTTTACAAATATCTTTTTTTTAAAGGCTTTATTTATAAAGGAACCAGAGTACAGGCCAGAGGCGCGGGACGGTGAGAGAATTCACCAGAGACAGAGAGGGGAGCAGAACAGGCAGATGGAACAAAGACACTACTGAGGGGAGCAGTGGGCAAGGCAGGAGAGGTCTACTGTGCCATGTGGGTTTCTCCCTGGCTGGCCAGGTATCGAACCCGCGCTGCAGAGGCTGCGGACAGCTTCACAGCACGGTGCTCAACCCGCTGCGCCACCGGGGAGGCTCTCCAATATGCTTCTTTAAAAATCTTTTTACAGACACTCACTGACACTTTAATTTTGGGGAGAACTACAACCCACCAGGATGAGATAGCTACAAAGAATTTTATGGCAGTACCCTCCAATAGTGATACTAATATATGAACAATACAGCAATTTTATGAGCAACCCCCTCCCCCCACACACACACCATGTAGCTGAACTAATGTCTATTAATCACCAAGATCAGCCTTAAGAAACAACTGAATCTGGGCCTCCCTGGTGGCACAGAGGTTGAGCACTGGGTTGCGAAGCTGCCCGCAGCCTCTGCAGCGCTGGTTCGATCCCCGACTGCTCCCCAGCCACCAGAGGAGGGTCCCACATGGTGCACAGACCTCTCCTGCTGCCCGCTGCTCCCCTCAGCAGTGTACTTCGGTTCTTCTGCCTGTTCTGTTCCCTGCTCTGGCTCTGGTGAATTCTCTCACCCTCCTGTGCTTCTGACTGTACCCAGTGCTTGTATAAATAAATAAATAAATCTTAAAAACAAACAAACAAACAAAAAAATCTTTAAAAAAAAAAAAAGAAACAACTGAATCTGTTGGCAATGTCAACTAGGCTAATGCCAAAATTACTTTTTTGAAGACA